GACGTGGAGTAATCGACAGAAGCTCAGATTGATGAATCGGGAACCGAGTTCTTTATATTTACATTCCTTGGGAAAAAAAATGAATCCATTTTTTTCGAAAGACTTGGGAGAAGATCGAATATCAAATCACACCCTCCAAATATGGGTTAAATAGCCTAACCAACAATCAATGCGTCAAGCATGGTGAAGACCTGGTCAATGAAGGGTTTCCCTTAGGAAGGATAAAGCCCGAGAACTGAATCTTTTCTAATGTGCTTTCATCGCTGGTACCTTTTTGGCTATAAGCGAAATTAGAAATATATCTGCATGTAAGTCGGTTAGTAAGTTCATTCCGGTTGAATGAGGTCTCTGTGTATAAGTCCTCAGCACTTTTCTTCACCACCGTTCCATATTTTCATGTTTGGTCATATGATTAGAATTTAGTTGCTTTGGTTAGCTTTGTTTTGTTTTACGGCATATTAAACTCAATGTGTTATTTAATGCCGTCAAGTTTTTTATTGATGGTAATATTTTAAAAAAAATATATTCTGGTAATATTTTTTACCAAAAATGTATTGCTGGTAATATTTCTCCTTTCAAAAATATATTTCTAGTAATAGTTATTTTCAAAAAATATAATGCTGGTAATAATTTTTTTTTTCAACAATACATTGTTAGTCATATTTTTTTCTCAAAAATGTACTGCTGGTAATATTTATTTTTCAAAAATGTACTGCTGTTAATATTTTTTTCAAAACTCTATTGATGATAATATTTTTTTTTTTTCAAAAATGTATTGCTGGTAATAATTATTCTTCCAACTCAATTGCTGGTAATAATTATTCTTCCAAATCAATTGCTGGTAATAATTATTCTTCCAAATCAATTGCTAGTAATAATTATTCTTCCAAATCAATTGCTGGTAATAATTATTCTTCCAAATCAATTGCTAGTAATAATTATTCTTCCAAATCAATTGCTGGTCATAATTATTCTTCCAAATCAATTGCTGGTAATAATTATTCTTCCAAATCAATTGCTGGTAATAATTTTTTTACAAAAATGAATTGTCGGTATGAAAACCTATTTTTACTCGTTTCGACCCCAGTGTGTGGGTTAACAATTTCCCCATAGCTGAGGACACTAACAGTTGGTACCATCCAGGCTCTGGGAGAATCTGGAACACCATCAATTATGAGGTGGTTCCATGCTCCTCAAAACTTCCTGATCAGAGGCCTTGCTGTTGGATGTAGTTTATCGTCTTACCCATGGCACTAGAATTTGGTAAATGCATTTGGGGTATTAACTTTTGAAAAACATATCTTGTGTATATACGATCAACAATTCTCAAGTCCATGTCCTCATTTATGTATTCCACTTCAAGCCATGGATCTCCACAACTTCCTTTCCTTTGTAACTCGAAGCAACGTTTAATTCTTTAACATAAATCCCTGTTCTGGTGTTTATTCACATAAACAGTTTAGTTAAATTTAGGTAAATAGATACTTCCATGGTAATTGTTCTGATGAGCTTTCCTCTTTGGTACGTAAACTTTACAAATTTAAGCCCAATGTCTGATAACTTGCAGTTGAATAGGCTAGATGCAACCGTAAGTTCTAAGCTAACAGTTTCTTCTCTCTTACTTTTCGTTTGTGAAACTCTCTTACGGCTTTTTGCATTCCAGCCAAACTTGACCTTCAAAAATTTAAATGTCAATCTTTATCATCATTATTTTTTGAATTTCTGTTCAATTATGTTTCTCTTTCATTAATAATATATTGTTTTTCTCATATTCTCTAACATTCGGTATTTCATTGTATCTTAGTGGCTTCATTGTCTTCCCCGGGGTTAAATGATTTTTAAAAAATGATGGTTTAATACCTCGGTCTATATTTCTGAGATGAGGTATTTTAATTATTTATATTATTTACATTGTTCAGACTGTTGTCCTCATGTTTATTGCCATATTCACGACGTTTCGACTGTGATATGCTCCGACCTTCTCAGGATCTGTCTATATTCCTGAGATGATGTATTGTAATTATTTACATTATTTACATTGTTCAGACTGTTGCCCTCATCTTTATTGCCCTATTTACAACGTTTCAACCGTGGTATGCTTCGACCTTCTCAGGATCTGTTTATATTTCTGAGATGAGGTATTGTAATTATTTACATTATTTACATTATCGGACTTTTGTTCTCATCTTTATTGCTATATTCACGAAATTACAGCCGTTGTATGCTCCCGCCTTCTTCAGGATCTGTCTATATTTCTGAGATTGTTCGGACTGTTATCCTCATCTTTATTGCCATATTCACGACATTTTGGTCGTTGTTTGCTCCGGCCTTCTTCAGGCTCTGTCTGTATTTTTGAGATGAAGTATTGTAATTATTTATATTCGGACTGTTGTCCTCATCATTATTGTCATATTCACAACATTTCGACCGTTGTACGCTCTGGCCTTTCTCGGGTAATGGGAATTTCGTAGTGAACCCTTTATTTCGTCCTCAGGGATAGACTGTTCTAGTTCCACGTACCACGGGCTATGCCTCTTCAGGATATCTTAGTTATCCCCCTTTAACTAAAGTCTAAAAAAAATTTTCGCCAAAGCAGTAGCCAGGTATTGAACTCACAACTCTTTGGGTCAAGTCACTTGATCCAACCAACGCTTTTATCAACTAGGCAGTGTGAAACTGGAACAATATTCCCAGCTCGACGAAATAAAGGGTTCAGATAGATATTCCAATCATTAAAGTCGAGAAAATATGGTAATGCCAGTCAATAGAAAATAATCTATAACACAACATTAATTGTACCATATTAATCATGCCTTAAGTACAATTAAGAAAATTATTTAATCCTTCACGATATTTAAGAAAATTGCATATTTCTCCAAATTTCCGCTTCAAAACTTATTTTCGAATTATTATTCTATCTGAACACTTTATTTCGTCTAGCTGGGTAGATTGTTCTAGTTTCACATGGCCTAGATGTTCACGATGAACAGCAGGGGCATCAGACCAGATATAGCAGCAGTTTTAAGGAGAGTCCAATGTTGAAGGTGTTAGGTAAAAGGACTCACAGAACTAATGGGCGACGTATTTTGTAGATGTATTTTATTCAAGTCTTTCCGGATACATCATTTATTAAAAATCATATGCGATATGCTTCAACGATCAAACCAGGTTCAGATTTAATGAAGGTCAAGCTAGTGAAGGGAGATGTAGGATGTTTCGAGACATCATGAAATTAACGAAACACAGTTGAATTTAAACACAAATAAAACCTGATGTAAAACATTTGATCTACTTGACATAAAGTCAGATTGCCGAAATTAAAGCGACACAGCTGTAAGGTAGACCTTTCAACATTGTACATACATATTATTGGTTGGGCATTTTACTCTGTGTCAATCATCACTACGGTGTTTACAGACTGAGCACATTCATTTGTGCTAAGCTGAGCATTTCACGGAGCGCATGCGCAGTCTCAAAGAAGAATTACTCCGCCCTTAATTATATCATTCTCTTCTAGTCACCTGATCAACGATTCAATTTCAACACGACAATTGATTACAATAATTGCATTCTGATTAATTATAAAGCCGGTCAACAAGTTCTTTGTTTTGTTTTGTTTTGTTTCTTTAATTTAGTCGTTGTTGATTTTTTTTTCTTGTATTCTTGATCTGTGTCTTTTTCTTCGTTACTGTCTGTTGGAAACAACGTTTTTCTTTCTCTATGGCTCTTTCTTTGCTTCTCCCTTCCGTTCTTTCCTTCTTTCTTTTTTCTTTCGTTATTTCTTTCTTCTCTTTCACTTTCTTTTAGTTATCTTTTCTTTCTTTCTTTCTTTCTTTCTTTCTTTCTTTCTTTCTTTCTTTCTTTCTTTCTTTATTTTCTCATTTGTTTTTTTTTGTGTTAAAACAATGTACTTCTATACTTTCTAAATATATATACACACACACACATATAACCACCCACATATATAAATATAACTAAACATACTTATGCACGCAGACATGTGTGTATATATATATATATATATATATATATATATATATATATATATACCTTTTTATGTGTGGGTTCGATGATTGTGCAATTAAAATGCTTTTTGCCATTAAAATGATTGTTGCACAGAAATGATCACACATAAACACACACATATACACACACACACACACACACACACACACATATATATATATATATATATATATATATATATATATATATATATATACATATTACATTCACTTACGTGCTAATACCATTGGGAAAGGTGTGAATCCTCTTCTTCTCCCTCCAGCTATGGGTAAAATAGCAGGACAGACGGGGTCTATAGCCTTGGATGGCAACTGGTCTAGGAGAAGGACAACTCTGAATTCAAAACCTGCGGAGGGTCGTTTGGGGACCTTGTGGCATTCTGTGCACCAGGTCTCTGTATTCGTCCCTTCAAAAAGTGTGGATGATCCTGCACGAGGCCTTCACCACTATAATCAAATCTCATGTGCCGGTGTCGGGCTGTCGGTTTCCTGGAAACTGATCTGCTTGACCCCATACGTCGAATCTTGACGGAGAGTCGATAATATATATATATATATATATATATATATATATATATATATATTGCTATTTTTATACCTAATTTTTTTTACAAATAAACATATAATCGATCTTATTTCAGAAATGAAATGAAAATCAGATAAATATTTTTTCAGTAGTCGGGGATTTAATTAATCATTAGTGATTGTCTAATTTTCCGACATTTGTAATGTTCAAGTTGCGTTATTCTCTCTGATAAATTTAAAATTCATGTTCTGTGTTCACTGACAATATCATTTCCGCCGCTGTTGCAGAAAAAAAGTGTCACACGAGTATATCAAGTCAGGTGATGAAAAATATATTAATCCAAATTGTTTCCAGGTATGTTGCTATTTATACAGTAATAAAGGCTGCATATAATGTCTTACATTTTGAGGAAAGCTCTATAGGCAAATACGTGAGTCGGAAATTTACGATTACATTTTAACAAAATAGATTGAGTAAAAAACGTTAAAAAATTTAAGAAGTAAAAGAAAGAAAAGAAAACTAAAGAAAGACAAAAAATAACCCGATAGATAGACACTAAGAAAAAATAAAGAACGACAGAAAGACACCAAACCAGAAGATATGCACTAAAAGGAAATAAAGAATGAAAGAAAGAATGATACCAAACCAAAAAAAAAAGACACTACGATGAAATGACGAAATAAAGAAAGACCCGAAACCAAAATATAGACACTAAAATAAAATAAAAAAATGAAGGAAAGAAAGAAACCAAACAAAAGGTAGACACAAAAATGAAATAAAGGATGAAAGAAAAACACAAAATCAAAAGATAGACACAAAAATAAAGAATGAAGGAAAGAAAGACACCAAACAAGGTAGACACTAAAATGAAATTCATAATGAAAGTAAGAAAACACCAAAACAAAAGGTAGACACTAAAATGAAATAAAGAATGAAAGAAAGAAAGATACCAAACTAAAAAAAGACACTAAAATGAAATGAAGAATAAAAAAAAGACAAGAAACCAAAATATAGACACTGAAATAAAATTAAGAATGAACGAAAGAAAGACACCAAACAAAAAGTAGATAGTAAAATGAAATAAAGGATCAAAGAAAGACACTAAACTAACAGATAGACACTAAAATGAAATAAAGAATGAAGGAAAGAAAGACACTAAACCAAAAGACAGAGATTATAATTAAATAAAGAATCAAGGAAAGACACCAAATCAGAAGGTAGACACTAAAACGAAATAATGAATGACAGAAAGAAAGACACCAATCCAAAAATTAGACACTACGATGAAATGAAGAATAAAAGAAAGACACGAAACAAAAAGATAGACACTAAAATGAAATAAAGAATGAAGGAATGAACTACACCAAGCGAAAAGACAGAGATTATAATTAAATAAAGAATGAAAGACACCAAATCAGAAGGTAGACACTAAAATGAAATCAAGAATGAAAGGAGGAAAGACACGAAACCAAAAGATAGACAATGAAATTAAATAAGGCATGAAGAAAAGAAAGTCACCAAACCAGAAGGTAGAAACGAAAATGAAATAAATAATGAAAGAAAACACCAAAACAAAAAAATGAAATTAAGAATGAAAGAAGGAATGACATCAACGCAAAAAATAGACACTACGATGAAATGAAGAATAAAAGAAAGACACGAAAACAAAAGATAGACACTAAAATAAAATTAAGAATGAAGGAAAGAAAGACACCAAGCTTATGGTGGACACTAAAATGAAATAAAGAATGAAAGAAAGAATGACACAAACAAGATGGACACAATAATGAAATAATGGATGAAAGAAAGACACTAAACTAAAAGATGGACAGTAAAATAAAGAATGAAGGAAACAAAGGACAGCAAACAAGGTAAACACTAAAATGAAATAAAGTATGATAGTAAGAAAATACTAAAACAAAAGGTAGACACTAAAATGAAATAAAGAATGAAAGAGAGAATGACACAAAAAAAAAAGGTTGACACTAAAATGAAAGAAAGAATTAAAGAAAGACACTAAACAGAAAGATAGCCAATGAATGAAATAAAGAATGAAGGAAAGAAAGACACCAAACCACAAGGTAGACATTAAATGAAATAAATTTTGAAAGTAAGAAAACACCAAAAAGAAGTTACACTAAAATGAAAGGAATAATGAATGAAACAATGACAGCCAGCAAAATGTAGACACTAAAATGAAATAAAGGATAAAAGAAAGACACTAAACCAAAACAGAGACACTAAATGAAAAAAAAATAAAGGAAAGAAAGACACCAAACCACAAGGTAGACACTAAAATGAAATTCATAATGAAAGGAAGAAAACACCAAAACAAAAGTTAGAAACTAAACTGAAATAAAGAATGAAAGAAAGAATGACACCAAACCAAACAATAGACACTAAGATGAAATGAACACTAACAGAAATACACGAAACCAAAAGATAGACAATAAAATAAAATAAAGGAAAGAACGACACCAAACGGCAAAGTAGACATTAAATGAAATAAATAATGAAAGAAAGAATGACTCCAAACAAAAGGCAGACACTAAAATGAAATAAAGGATGAAAGAAAGACATTAAACCAAAAGATAGGCACTAAAATGAAATATAGAATGAAGGAAAGAAAAACACGAAACAAAAAGATAGACACTAAATTGAAATAGAGAATAAAGGAAAAAAGACACCAAACCAGAAAGTAGACACTAAAATGAAATAAAGAATGAAAGTAAGAAAACAACAAAACAAACAATAGACATTAAAATGAAATAAAGGATGAAAGAAAGACACTAAACCAAAAGATAGACACTAAAATGAAATAAAAAATGAAATAATGAAATAATGAAAAACTAAAAAGTAGAAAATAACATGAAATTTAGAATGAAATAAAGGGAGACACCAATAGGAAGAAGTCAAAGCGAAAGAGAAAAAAGCAAACCGAAGTAAAATATGATTGACATTAAAATGAAAGAAAGAAGTAACGAAAAACGCCAAAGCGCAAAAAATATATGAAAGGAAAGAAAGACACCAAGTTTAAAGAAAACCAATTTGGAATAAGATTTAAAGAAAGAAAAAATGATATAAAAAATAAAGAAAGAAGCGAAAATTAAAGAAAGGAAGAAAAGAAGGACGGAAGAAAATGAGAAAATAAGGAAAATGGACGAAAAGAAACAACCGAAAAAGAAAGAAAGAAATAAAGAAACATAAAAAGAAAGAAAGAAAGAAAGTAAGAAATGACAATAGTTCAGGAAAGTGAAAACCTTGAAAAGAACAAATAGAACAAGAGCTATAAAAGTGAGCATAGCGTGGACATCTCTGTTTTTATTAATTCAGGAATCTGGACAGAAATGAAAACCAAAGCAGTCGATCAGAGTATGCTCAATTTATATTGAATAAACGCAAGAAAAAGCATTTGTGGCCAGTAAGTATCAAACATACTTCAAATCAGTTGTACTGAACCGAATTCGCTAACCATATTGCCTGGCCCTCTTTGATAAATGATCTATGATTATGAATAAATGATAAAACATAAAGTTACTGGGTTATGTATTGATAATTGTCTGACTCATCGTTTCAAGCTGCCTTGCAATATATGACAAACAAAACATCATAGTCGTTCTTCTTCTTCTTCTTCTTCTACTTCTTCTTCTATAATTTGATGTATTCCTTCAGGAAATGGGCGATCTTGGCTTTCCAAATCTTGTTATCCTTTGTGGTCCTTATCAGTGTTTCTACATTTGCGAAATCAACCGTCCTCAATTCGGCTATCTATTCAAGCAAGTTCCTCAGGTAGGTGTCTCGTAGGATCACCGTAGCTATCTTTCACTCGATATGTCCCGAGAATCTCAATTCTCCGATCCCTTCTTTCTCATTTCAAAAATTCCAGTTGTCTCTTTTTCATTATTAGTCTGTGCTCTCTTTGTTAACAATGCATGGAATTCCCAGCATGCTTTTGTGGAACCAGATTTCCGTATTCATCAGGTTCCCTTTATTCAATGAAGAGATTATCCAGCATTTATTGCCATGAAAGTGGATTGATATAGCTTAGCAATTCAACATTGTTTTTCTTGTTTGTTTGGAACGAAATCTTTTCACATCTTAATACTTTTGGAATTAATATTTTCATATTTCGATACGCGTTTGGGTCTTAATGTCGCATTTTCGATCCTCTGCCAAAAGACTTTCCTCCAATTCGTAACTCGCATCGTAGGCCTTTTCTCTTGCTGACAACCATACTTTCTGTCATCCTATAATCGATGATTTGTCTTTTTTATAGTTTTATTATACTACGTTGTCATTTGCTCCTAATGTCTGTGTTTAGAGTTTGGTACTCTTTTTCCATTATTTGGCTTTGAGTGTTTTAATTTTTACCATCTCAAGAATTTCCTATGACATCCATTCTTATTGTCTTGTATAGAACGTCAGGCTCTTGCTAATATTTTTGCATATTCTCTCACGCCATAGGGGTAGTGGTAGTTTGGTTTGTTTTATTTTATGTCATATCAAACTCAATGAGATATTTAATGCCAACAAAATTATTATTGTTGGTAATATTTTTTTCAATAATCGATTTCTGGTAAGATTTTTCTCTCAAAAAATCTATTTTTGCTAATAGTTTTCCTTCCAAAAATCTATTATTGATGATATTTTTTTTCTACAATATATATATTTCTGGTATTTTTTTTCCTTCAAAAATCTATCTCTGGTAATAAGTTTCTTTCAAATATCGCTGGTAATATTTTTTTTCGAAAAATGTATAGTTGGTAATATTTTTGTTTTTCAAAAGAATGTATTGCTGGCAATATTTTTAATCCAAAAATGTATTGATGGCAATATTTGTTTTCAAAAATGTTTCGCTGTTAATTATTTTTTTTACACAGAATTTCTGATAGTAAAACCTATTTTTACACTTTCATAATGTTTTGACCCCAGTTTAGGAGTTAACTATTTGCCCATAGCTGGGACCCTAACAGGTGCTACCACCCCGTGTCAGAGTGGACCTGGGAACACCAGCAATTCAGAGGTGATTCCACGATCTTCAAAATCACTTGATCAGAGGACTTGCTTTTGAACGTAGTTTTTCGTCTTACCCAGGACGCGGATGTAGTTTATCGTGATACCTAGAACGGGGTAATGGTAGTGGAATTTTAAGCTTGCTTTCATGAAGATAAAAGCAGGAAATATAAATGTACACAGCACAGAAAATGTATGGCAAATTGTATATTAATTTCATACAATTTTATTTATGTATTGGTGTGTATTAGCATGTGTATATGCTTTTACCTTACAATTGTGTCAATGTATATGCAATAAAATGGAGCAGTTTACTCCGTAATATTACAAATCGTATCACAGAGGGAAATTAAACACGTGTTGTCTTCGTAATGGTTCTTGAGCGAAGAGAGTTAATCTAACGTCTTTTGGCGGTATGTTCGTATTTCCAACAGGACCAGTTTTTGTTGCATGTTTAGAGTAATTTGATTACTTTTATTTTCTATTTAATTTAATTTAAACAAGGTTGAATATTATTGTTTTATTTTATTTATAATTTTCATTATTATTGTTATTATTATTATTATTATTATTTTATTTTGTTTATTAGGAGTTTCATGTGCTATACCTGTTCGTTATTGCTGCTGTTGGAAGTCCTCAAATGATGCAGTTTTTTTTTTATTATTTTTTTCTGAGATTCTATAGCACAATTTCACAAGTTTCGAAGAATGTGAGGCTTCGTCAAAACATACTTACTTTGCTTAGAGACATTTTTAACCATTGATCTAAACAGTAGTATATAGCAGACACTTCAGATATCGGATATATGCATAACATCCACATGAAAGTATCTAACTGACGAGACTATTGAGGTACGTGAATCGAACGTAAATTTTACGTTCGCGCTTTTGTAACAATTTGCGATGCTTGGCGAGACTTCCTATGTAAATCTTGGATTTAAATATAGCCGAAAAAACAGTATTAACAAGAAAAAATCATTTTTTACGCTAGTGCATCACGTTCCTTGTATAAGATTATCATGGGAAAATGTAGGGATTTTATTTAGCAATGTGTATTTACACAAATGGATAAAATTGAAGCGGTCTCTAATTCAGAAATATGATCACGGTGTATAAAAAGAAGACTAATGATATGAAGCCGTTTCAAGGAACGAAACGCTTTGGCAGACAAGTCTTTCATGTTATCAGTTCTTTTATTAATATATATATATATATATATATATATATATATATATATATATATGTATATATGTATATGTGTGCAATATATTATATATATTATTTATATATTTTATTCGCCAATACCTATTGGAAAACACTCAATATCAGAGATAATAGTAACATATTTAGTTGTATTGATGAGAGTTTGTGACCATGGATTTTACGCTTTGGAGATTGTCACACAAAAGCGGAAAAACGCAGGGTCACAAAATCACATCAATCAAACTATATATATATATATATATATATATATATATATATATATATATATATATATATATATATCGTGTAACATCCTGAGATAATTGTCCATTCCCAAAAATCTTTTACATCTAAAAACCGCTAAACTAATTGAGTTTATTTTTACAGGTATTCAGACGTTTAGCCAACTTCACACCATTTGTCGTAAGATTAACTGAAAAACCCTTTGAGCTCTTCGGCAAGAAAGAAAACCGGTTAAAATCATTTGGTGTCAACACCACTGTCTTCTCAACTTAGCAATGGTGAGAGGAAGATGATGACTCAGCCCGTCGGTAATGGTACAAATATTCATACTCTGGTTTCCATCTTCACGATCCATTCAAGAACCATCAAGAGAACGGTGAACGAGTTTTAAAAAGAGGAAACAGTATAGAGGAAACTGGATCAGGAAATCACAACAGGAAGAGGGATTATCATTTCAACTTGGATTTGAATACATTCTTATTGTGTAAATTAGAGTTCAGTAGGGTTATAAAACTCGGGGAATTCCAGTAAGATATCTTTAATCATTTTTAAGACACATCGGGTCAAACTTAATCTAACAATTGTACAAAATTGCTATTGCAAGTTTTGGACAATTTTGTTGTTACTTCCA